ATTCCTGCTTTCAACACCAAAATTGAGTTTCGCTTGCATCTGTTGTCTCCTTAGGATTTTGGTTTTGTTACAGTATGGCCAAATTGGCGATTGACGCTTTTGTTTCCATTTTTAACTGGTAACATGTTTAAACTCTGGTGTTGTGTACAACACAGCTTTACTGTAATAGTTCAGAAAAAGAAATGTGATAGTGTTGAGTCTCCAAAGCCATGACAAGACACGCTAAAATTCAAAAGATGTATGACTTCCTTAGACATGCTGTTCCAGCCTTCTCTTCCAATTACCTTCTTTTTTTTTTTTTTCATGGCAGGTAACTCAGCTGACGGAGAAGCTGAAGAATCAATCAGAAAGTCATAAACAAGCCCAAGAGAATTTGCACGAGCAAGTGCAGGAGCAAAAGGCACATCTAAGAGCTTCTCAAGACCGTGTGCTCTCCCTGGAAGCAAACATCACTGAACTAACCAGCCAGCTAAATGAAAGTAAAGAGAAAGTTTCACAACTTGATGTACAGGTAATGGAACTGTATACTGTCCGGTGATGATAAATCTTGCTTGTGATTTCTGTGTTCTCTCCAGAGAACGTACAAAGCAATTTTGAAAAAATTGCATGTTTCTACTAACAGGCGAATGAAGTAGAATAAGGCAGATAAAACTGAGAAAAAACTAATTGGATTCAGAATAGCGGTAGATGGCAAGTGTTGGGTTTTTTGTTGTTGTTTTTGTCTATATTGTTTTGGTTGGTTTTTTTTAATTAAACCCCCCCCAAAGTTTATAACTGAGTTGGGAAAATCTGGCCTTGAGCATCTCGTGTTGTATTTAATGGTCAGCTATCCAGAACCCTGCTCCTGCCACTCCTGGATTCTCTGCACCAGAGTGAGAGTCTGTCAAGTCACTAAGATCTTGTTGTTGTCTAGAAATTTCCTTTGCTGGTGACTTCTGTCAAAAACAAAATAAAAAAGCTGTGGGCCACCTTGTTGTGAATTTAATTTACTAAACAAGAAAATTCCCCAATATGGATTCAGTGTGGACTCTCCTACTTAATAAGTGCTGCTTAAGCGAAAAGCTGCTAATTATGTTCAGCTATCCCAAAGAATAAATAATGTTTGATCAGAAGTTCTTGCATTGGTACACTTGGAGCAGCTAGTACTGTTGGATTAATACACTGTGGTGTCTTTTGAATTAGTGTTACTCAGTTTCCAAACAGGTCTAGGAACTTCTGATGTAGCTTTGTGATATGGTAGCAAAGCCCAGTAAAAATATCTGAGCTGTTTTTTCACCAAGACATTAGAGTTAGAACTGAACAATCTGGACGGTTGCAACTGCTTTTAAAGGCAATGTGAGCTTCCTTACAGTCTTCAGAGAAGTAGCATTTCTATTTGGGAGAAAAAGAGTAAACCACAATAGCAGATGACCCTGAATATTGCCTCTGTGCACCAACACCATCCATACCCACTTCTAAATTTTGTTTGCTGGGAAGGGAGGTTGCTCCCTAATAGGCAGATAGGAGCAGAGAAAGATAGAATGCTTGTGCAAGTATTATTTTGTTGTTTGTTATTCTTTTTGCTTTTAAAAATTTTGGAGGCCCTTAAATGTGCTTGTAGTCTGAGGTTTTCGAGGTGTGCATGGGTGTGAATGCAGTAAGTCTGTCCCATTGTTCCTTGTTAGTAAGTAAAAATATTTTTCTAGAATAGAATATGAGTGGCACTGGTGGAGTTTTTTTTGTTTGTCTGTCTTTTTAGCTCAAAGTAAGAACTAACTGTGGCTTAAAATCCTGATATTTTTCTAGAGCTTGAAAATCTTTCTTCCTTTTTTTTTTTTCTCACTAGCACGTGCAAAGTACTGGTTTTACTATTAAACTTCCTGATGAGTATAAAAAAAAGTGAAATGAGCTATGGCAAAATTGATGTTTTAGTGAAATACAATTTGTCTTTCAGGTAAAAGCAAAGACTGAATTGCTACTTTCGGCAGAAGCATCAAAAGCTGCTCAGAGAGCGGATCTTCAGAATCATCTGGACACTGCCCAGCATGCACTGCAGGATAAGCAACAGGTTATAAGCAACAAATAAACATGAAGTTTCTATGTTACCTAAAAAAGACTTAAAAACCTAAGAGTAATCTGTTTACAAACTAACTAAACATGTGAATATGCACTTGGAAATCATAATTTAGGATATTTTAACCATGTGTAATGCATTCAGTTCTTTTTGCTGTAATCTGGAGCAGATATATTTTGCAGTGTAAAGTAAAGAATTTTCTTAGGAATCCACTCCTTGCTGTAGGATTATGGTTCAGAATCTAAGCTGTCCTATCGGGGTATAATTCAGTTCTCACCTGTAATGAAGAAAAAATTGTAGAATGCGCTGGGTACAAGTGAAAACTCTTGACTCTTATTGCATGTTCAGATAAATTCAGAATCAGATGCCTGTATTCAGAAATAATTATCTGTGTGCCAACTGACACAAAACCCCAAAAGACTGTTGTTAAAATTGCATATTTTAATGTGTGTTAATGCTAGTGAAGCATTCCACCAGCTGCTGAATCAAATATTTGCATTGTTAGAATCAGTGCTGCTGTGGTCTTAATGGAAACATTCAGCAGATGGTAACATAGGACCATTTTTTAGGGTGGGAATATAATCAATTCCTATAAACAGCAGACTTCTTTTTGCAATTATTAAATAATTAATTAATAAATCAGCTCGGTTGGAGAGCAACGAGCTTTGGGTCATTGTAGTGGTTACTAGGTGAATGTGTTCATGTTTCTTGTGGAAATGATGCTGTTTTTTTATTGAACCAAATGGTTTGAAATAATCTCTGGTATGTGGAGAACTGACTGTTTCCATGGTATTGACTTTCCTCTTCAGTGGTGCTTGATCTCATGAACACAGCAAAAATTTTCTCTAAGGTTCTGTAGTGTTACTTTCTAGTTATTGTTGTACTAACTGCATGATCTAGAGCATTTATTACCTACAATTCCTCTTTGATTTGTAACTTAAACCACCTTTGTTAAGATTTAACCCACAGCCTGTAAAGTCTGAGAGGAATATTGAGGCTTTAAAAGAAATTTCGTGAGTTTAACAGAGATTTTGTGCATGTGTTTGTGTTTCCTCTCTCAATTTCCTGCCCCTCAGGATAAAAAAGAAATATTATTTTCCTTTTTAATTTGTACACATTAGATCATTTAGAGCATATGTGACATTACTCATTTTTTGTGAAGTTATTTAAAAACTAACAACCCTCATATTTTTGTTTTATCTCAGGAGTTAAATAAAGTCAGCGTTCAGTTGGATCAGGTTACAGCTAAGCTGAATGACAAGCAGGAATACTGTTCTCAGCTGGAAGCCAATCTTAAAGAGTACAAAGAGAAAAGTCTTTATTTAGAACAGAAAACTGAAGAGCTAGAGGGACAGCTTAAGGTTTGTACTGAACACAGTGTGTGAGCTCACAGAAACTGATGGTCTCTGCTGTTTGCTAGCATGTGATAAAAGCTGTGCTCAAATCATGGGGTAAGGATTATATCAATACCACTTTTGTAGGTTTTCTTTTTCACTAGTGTTTCCTGATCCACCCTTTAATCCTGTTCTCATCTTCTTCCATGCTAGCATGTCACACTAAGAAAATAGACTTAGGACATTGCCACTATGCTGTCATTTTCCTGTATGTGTGCTTCTACCAACCTCTATGCTACCTGGAAAGTGTTAAGAGAGGGAACATGAGTGTTTCCTGAAATTAGAATTTTCAAGTTCAAACCTTATACACTTTACAAGTGGTAGGAGGGAATACATGTTACATTGGTTAGCCCAAGTTAACACTACCTGTCTGGTTTAATATATTTCTAAACCCTTTCAGTAGGCTTCTACAGAGGCTTTTTATCAAGATTTTTTTCATCAGTGTTTTTCGTTTAACCTGATCTTGAGTTTTCCATTCCATTTCTGGAATCTGTTTTTCTCTTAAAGTACACGTAATTCTGGCAGAAGGTTTGCAGATACTAGCGTGTGGTGTTTCGAGATACTGGTATTTTCAGTTAAATATGAATTAGTCCTAATGCTTGAGAGCTTTTAAATTTGGGCTTTAACCTTTGTTCAGTATTTGTTAAGCATTCTTGGTGGTCAAAATTCATGATACATAAAACCATATGATACAGGGATCTTAGGAGCAATGCGGAATTGGCTTTGCAGTGTTGTCTGTTTTGAGGGAGATGAGCAGTCTTTATGCTCAAGGCTGAGTGGGGTGTTTTTGCTAGCTGATGTGCTCTATAGATGAGAAGGAAGGCTGTTTTCCCTGTGTGAAATTTTACACGCAATGCTATTAAAAAATAAAACAGTCGCACATTGGCATTATTAGCGTAATTATTTTGTGCTTCCATCTCTCTCCTTTTGCCCACCATTGGTTTTTTTGCCCGCTTTAATTTGTTTTTATTTTTCTTCCTTTTGCTAAAGTTTCACAAGTAACCAATGGACACAAATGCTTGGGAGGAATATAGTGTTTGCTTGCACAAGATTTTATGAGATTCCTGGTAGCTGAAGTGTGAAACTGAGCAGGGTTGTTGATGTTGTCAACAGGAGTGCAATTCTGTGTAAAATCTTGATGTCATCACCATTCTCTGGGATTATTCCAGTTGAATGCATGGTATTAAAAAAAAATTGAAAAAATAGAAAACAAAGAGCCCTCAGGAATTTTCTCGGAGAAACTTGGCCATCTTGTTTTATGGCCACTGCATGAAAGCAGAAGTGCCTGTAAAACAGCCAATGTGTTGAAGAGTCTAAGCAGTGCCTATTTGCTGAAGACTCCTGTATTCTTCATCCTCCATATAAATAAGCAATACCTTCAGAAAAAAAAAAAAAAACCAAGAAAAACCTCTTCCAGGCGAGCATAGGATTTCTTCACAGCTGTAGTTTGTGTCTTTGTTTTTGTTATAAAGAATGGTAGAATTCTTGGGATATGTAAATCAGCAGTCATTTGAAACTGCTGAAACTACTCAGTGGTGGCTGAGAACCTGGCCCCAAAGCTGAGCACTGTGTATGGCCTTTTTTTTTTATAGGTGTTGTGGACAGCCTCTTTAAAGATTTCTGCTTTTTATCTATTACTTTGCAGCAAAGTGGCTGCTTGGCCTTTAGTTTAAAGATGATTTCAGAATATTTTACCAAAATAGTTCAGTTCTGGAGGAGCAAGAGACTTGCAGGAACTAAATAACGAAAGATAAATAGCAAACTAATGAAATAGGTAGACAATGTGTGAGAATTGTGACTGCTTTCTACAGAAAAGGCTTCCTACAGTAAATGCTACTCACAGATTAGATGACTTCTGCTTTTTACTGCTATTTTTATTTTGTTGATTGTGTTCTGATGGCTCTAACTTTTTATTTTTCTATGTCAGAAACTTGAAGCTGACATTCTTGATGCTAAAGCAAGCAAAGAACAAGCTCTTCAGGAGTTACAGCAGCAGCGACAGCAATCTACAGAATTAGACCTCCGAACAGCAGAACTGAGTAAACAACTTGAAGCAGCAAGAGAAGCGTATGCATTTCCTGTGTTGTAGTACTTTTCAAAGTCAGATATAAAAATAGAGTGGTTCAGACTAGAGTTGGAATTTTGTTCTTCTCTCCGGTGATTTCTTAAAATCATAGATAAGTGATGCGTCCCCTCTGCTACAAGAACTGAGTTTTATCCCACCTGTTTTTTTCCACTCTGTGGCATTCAGACTCCCATCTGCCATGTTGTCTCCTGTGAATCACTGACTGCTGTGATTCAATACACTTCTTCGGGTAGACGAGGTGCTTAGGGACATAGTTTAGTGGTGGGATGGCAGTGTTAGCTTAACGGTTGGACTTGATGATCTTAAAGGTCCAATATAAACAATTCTATGATTCTATTCTATGATTCAGTATATTCACTATTGTCAACTAAATATCTGAACAGTTTGATGTAGTGAGGTCCATCTTTAAATATCCATAGCTCTGTAACTTTTTTCAAAGACTAATTTGCAATTTATGCAGAGGCAGCAAAGGGGTAGTTTCTGTGCCTTGCAGTTGAGGAGGAAGAATCCATCTCAAAATAGTTTTAAGAGCTGCTGGTATGTCTTCTTTGTAGAGACAAAATGCCCATGCTCTGGATGAAAAAGATATGCTTTGAAGTAGTTCTACAGTTAATATATTTAAATAATAGAGGCATTTAATGATACAAAATAACCCATGAAGAAGAATTTAAAAAAAATATGATTTTTCTTTTTGTATCTGCAGGATGTCTAATGCTAAACTGGATTTGCAGAAGAAATCTGAGGCCCTTGAAGAAGCGAAGCAGCAAATTTCAAAGCAGGAAGAAGAAAAGGCCAGCCTTAAACAAAACCTTGAGAAATCAAATCAAGATACAAGTAAACAACTCAAGGAATTAGATTGTAAAATGCAAGCAGCAACATCAGAGCTGCAACAAGTGAAATTAGAGAAGGATACTCTATTAAAGGACCTTACAGCTACCAAAGACAAGCTCTCAAAAAGTTCTGAATCCTTCAAAAAAAGAAAGGAGGAATTAGAAAAAGAAGTACAAAAAGGAAAAGCAGCTGTGGCAGAAATGGTTAGTAGTTTCTTTTGTTAGGCATTAAGTTTGGTGTATTTACAGTCTGATAAAATGACTTACTGTCTGAAAACTGTGTACATATAATGACAATGCATGATGGAAATTAATTGCCTTAAGGAAAAACAAATTGTGATTTTTAGTAGTTTATATACATGTCCTTCCTTAAATTTTTGTCTGGTTGTTTACAGTAGTAAACATCAGTCATCTCACACAAAAGGATCCCCTCTTCTTGCTGTATGCCTTTAATATGATGAAGAAACTAAATGGAGACAAGTGGTAAAACATTTTGATGGGAAATGTCCCCCTTTTTAAGAATACATCAGCCTTATTATAACAACACAAAGTTATAAACCCTTTGCTAAAGTGCCACCATATTGAAGAAGTTGTTATTTTTCTGAGGCCATTTTAGTTTCCTTTCTGGAATCTTTGTATATAGAAACTTCTTGTGCACTTGTCTGGGCACGCTGGCAAGCTGCGTACCACAGGCAGAGTAACATCGTCTGTCATTTGGGGAGATGCCTAGCTTAAGGTATTATCAGAGTACTAGAAATGTTTGAGTTTCAGAAAGGTCTCACAAGTGGCAGTGTTAACAACAACTGCTTGACCACCAGAGCAACCTATTGTGGTAAAGAAAGTGAACTCTCACTAGGCTTAAGATACACCTTTTTCTTCCCTCTTTTGCTATGTTGGTAATATGAATGGGCATGATATGAATACACATTTTATAGATTTTCTTATAGACCTTTTCTGACACTCCTGCCTCAGACAAGGTAGAGGTGTCTTTCTCATTCCCTTCTCATCTTACATGTCACCGTTTCCCAGAACCCATTCAGAGCTGCTTTTATTCTGATCTAAAAAAAATTCTGCTCCTAGCTAAAAATAAGATTTTTTCCTTTACTCTTTCACCTTTTTAAGATAAGCCTTTTTGTTTGCTTTACTTAGTTACTGCTGTTTAAATATTTGTTTCTCCAAAAATTTGAACCATTTTCTTCCCAATTTAGACTTGAAGACAGGAGTCCAGATTTCTGCTTTTAATTCTGTAGTCATTGGAGGGCTCGCCACTGTCTAAAGTGCATAGTATTTGGGCTTAAAACATAGTTGTATTTGCATATAAGTCCTGCAAATGTACTTGCTCGTGAGCTTTAGAACATCAAGAAATTTTTGATCCTGAGGATGGTGATGAGCTTACTGCTTCCCACAAGAAGAACAACTGCTTCCCAACAGCAGCTTCAAACAGGGAGACTGTCCCTAATCAGAAAAGCTCTTTGTTACATGGCTGCGTTTGTTAGTACAGCGCGTCAGCTGTGTTCAGCTTAGATTTACCACTGTTAGTTTTAAGAAGTTTTGAGCTGAAAATATGTCTGCAGCTGAGAAGGAAAGGTTTTTCACTGAAAAGGAAAGCATTATTCTTCCAGGCTTTGTAGATCCTGCAAAAATACCTGGTACCCGGTCTTAGAAGCTCACAGGAATGTTTCCTTGTCTTCTGTTTTTTAGGAAAAATCTTGCCAAGAAGTAAAACACCAGCTCCAGGTACAAACAGAGTCTGTAGCTAAAGAGAAGAATGAATTGAAAAACTCACTGGAAAAAAAGGAGGGGGTAAGCTGTCCTCTTAGTTTCAAAAATGTAGAAGCCAATAATAATAAATATTTGAAAGGTTCGTTTTCAGTTTCACATGCTGGGACTGATGAGAGGTAAAGAGGTTGCAATTCTCAAATTGTGACCTACCTGAGGCACTGAAATAAGGTGGTACTGAAAATTTCCTAGTTGTTAATATGAAGCTTTAAAATATAGGTTTTACTCCTACCTTTCTGTGCCCCACATACCTTAGTGGGGGATTTTAGCCCTTTAGGGCTAAAAAGGTTTTATTTTTTTTCATTAGTGAAACAGTTACTTGGTATTACCATGTCCTCATTTTTTTCATACTTTCATACAATAGAAGTTGTTATCTTATATCCTTAGATCTGTTTTAGTCTCAGGCCTAATCAGTATGTTCTCTGTGTGATTGACAGGACATTTTCAGATTTCCTTGAAGGATTTAGTTGCTTTTGCAAACTTGTGTAAGTCACTTGCCTGTGACTGCATAAGGACCAAATGTACTTCTTTTTTAAAGATGAGCATTCAGACTGGAAAATCATATAGTCCAACTGGCAGCCTGAAGGCTAAATCTGCTTTTCATGGATTTCTTTACCCAAGCTGTTACCTATTCCCTAAAGGAATCAGAAAAGATATGATCACTGGACACAGTTTGATAGACTGTGGTGGACTCTTGCTGCCTGAAAGAGGGTTTGTTGATGTGCAGGTGTGATGGTAATTGCTCTGTGACTACTGCTGCTACTCCCCTCGCTCCTCTCTTGTTCAGCAGAAGCTGGTGCTCTCGGGTGAGTGCAGGGAGGATGGGCTTGGTATCTGCTGCAGTTGGCAGCAGGAGAGCCAAGACCACTGCTGGCTTGAGAAGAGTTGCCTGCTCTTAATTATGAATGGTGAGAAAAGACTGCAGTTGCTCTAAGTGTAGGAAATTGGGAATAACAGGTGATTTTAATGTGTTATGGTAGCTCTTAAATCTACTTGTCAGTGTTTGACCACCTAGTTCTGAAGCAGAAGGTGGCTGCAGTGGCACTGTGGGATAGTCTGGTTCTGCGTACAAGAAATAACAGTAGTACACTTGGAAACTATTTCCTGCAAATAATCCGCAGCTCTTTGTAAAAACAGAAGAGTGGTCATACTGGATCACAAGAAAGGCATCGCTTGGCACCTGGTCTCTGACAGACGAAAGTCGTAGATGGGTAGAGAAAAGTAGAGTAGGGCAAGGCTTTCAAATTCCTACAATCAGGGGATTCTCCCAACCTCTAGCAGTCTTTTGGGAGCTGCTTTCCTGAATATGTATCTTCAGCTTTAACAGCTTTGACCAGTTTTTCATCTGTGAAATTGCCTGTCTGCTTTTTGAACTACATAATTTGTCATCCACACAGCTCAATAGGCAGTTTCACGTACTACAGCATGTACAAATAGTGATTTAAATTAAATACATATACAGTTATTTAATATTTTTGAATATAGATTTGTAAGCAGCTGTCAATAGAACTTGATTCAGCACGAGCACAAGTCCTGGAAATTCAGGGTCTTCTGAAGGAGAAAGAAAAAAGCGAGCAACAACTCCAAGGAAAGCTGAGAGAGTTAAAGGAATCTTTTGAGCAGAAGAAAAAACATAGTGAGACACTGCAAGCTGAATTAAAAACTGCCCTTTTAGAAAAGGTAAGACTGGTCTCTCTTACTCCTTTAAGAATATTAATGTCAATATCTTTGTGATAAACAGCTGTTTGCTGTAGTCTTGTTGGAAGTGATAAGGTCAGGATGTGAGACTAAGGTCTTCAGATGCTGTTGGAGATAGAAACAAGAACAACCATAATAAAGTAAAAAGAACGAGTGCTGAAATATGAATTCTGTAGGAACTGATTTTCAATAAAGTGATAAAAATGGCTAGATTGAATGTGTTTATTTTGCTTTAGGAGGCAAGAGCTGCCATTTTCTTGTGAAACAGAATTTTGTGAGAGTAGTTTAGACAAACTTTGCAGTGTTTTGGAACATTCATGGCAGTTTTAAACCAAGTCTTCTCTTATTATACCAAAAGAATTTATCTGAGTGACAGTATGAAACTCGTAAACCATAATGGAAAGAGTTCAAATGTCTTACAACATTAGGGAATGTTGTGTTGTGTGCCACGCACTGCTAAATGTTGCTCCAGCTTTGGCTGCCCTATGCTACGTGATCATATTTCTGCTTTAGTCAGTTTGTGGAAACTTTAGGACTTGGAAACATTATTTAGATTTTTAATGTTTGGCCTTAATGTGAACTGCTATTTCCTAAGTGGAAAAAAAAAAAATGTCGTTTTGCAATAGAAATGCAGTTTGTTGAAATGATTAAGCTTACTTTACTGCCTGTAACTTCATTTGAAACTTCCTATGCTTATGTTTCAGGCAGAACTGGAGAATAAACTGCAACAGCAGTCTATTTTGTCAGCACAGGAGCTTAAAGCAGAGAAAGTCAAACTAGCAGACTTACAGAAGACCCATGAAAAACAGAAGGATAACAAGGA